TGCACTATGGTATAGCGAGAAAAACTTTACTGAAACCGCGTGGAACCTTATTCCGTTCATTTAGAGAGAGGGGGAGAGGGGAACTCGCTTTATTTTGAAAGTATAGATTCGAAATTTTCAGAAAAAGGGGACTCCATTCACTGTGGACATAATATAAGTTAGTAAATTACTCAGGAATCAATAGGGTTTACACAGAAAGTAACAGCTCTTACGGGGACAATTCGAGAAGTAGTTTCTGTATTTAGATCTCTTCACACGTGAGATGACGAGCCACGAATGGTAACACAGAATGCTGATGTACGGCAGGAGACATGCCGAAAGCCACGACGCATAGAGCGGTTGGAAATGTGGTTGCATGATACTGTCGACTAAAAAGGCATAAGAAACACCGGCAGCAAAAAGTGCATTTGGAGGACTCGTCTTGAAATTAACATATCATTTTTGAGCAAAACAGGAAAAATGACGGGCGAACAATAAATGATGAGAGAAAGAATGCAGGCATCTATAAATCGTCAGATCAAGAATTGCAGTGTGTGGTAAGAATGTAAATGACGAATGTGGTAAGGAAGTTTCCGCGCTTTAATGAAAATGGTCTCGATATGGAGGGAAAATAAAGGATGTGATTACAAAGTAACACCAGGGTACTTGAAAGAGGATAGCTTGTGGGGAAGGATGTCTAAGAATTCAGGACTAGGAGGGGGTCGCAGTCGGAGAATAAACTGAAAGGATTTCTGGTTATTCAATGGAAGACCATTTTCCTGCCACCACGCAAAAACATGGTCACGGCTATCTTTCAGAGACTGGAGGTGTATCTGATTTTCGAGAGGGCGACCAACAACCACATCTTCTGTATACTTAACTAACAGGCGGTCGTTTGGGGGATCTTGGATTATCAGGATGGAGAGGGAGGAGGTGAGGAAATAAAATGGAACCTTGGAGAACTCTGCAGTCATTGGGAAGGACCGTAGATTTCCGCTTGCCAGATTGGTCAAATTAAGTGCGGGAGGTAAACTAATCACCGAGCCAAGAGACGACGCAATCTGGAGAGGGGCACGCGGATATTCTGGCAAGGATAAGATGGCGTGGGACGGTTTTGAAGACGGAGGAGTAGTCGGGAAGATCACATGCGTTTACACGGAAACCCTTATCTTGTTCTCTTAGGGCAGAATGGACTACAAGAGCAACAGCATTTAAGGTACTAGGCTTGGTTATATATGCGAATTGTAAAGGATAGAAAAACTGGTAGAGGATGGCTTTATAATATCTAAGACTGATGTTTAGTTCCGCTCCCTACCTATTAATCGGGATTCCGTAAACCTAAAAAGTTAATAGTTAATGAAATAAATTAAACATCATATCACAGAAATTCACCGTACGCTTTCCCCTTTCATGTTATTCATTGGGTTCGGAAATGAATTCATGTCTACAACAAGGGGATATTAGCTCATAAAATGCCAATTTCCCGCCAATAGACATGGTATTAAACATATACTTGTCTCGGATGATAAAGAGTCGTTTCTATCTCAACCATATTTTTTACTTGTCTTCGATCAGCCGTCCTACCGCCAAGGTCAATAACCGCTTTTATGTTGCCGCTGAAGAATAACGGACTGTTTGTCTCCCTCGACACAATTTATACAACATGTCTCTCTTTCGCGTTCGGTGAGAACTTAGATATATCTGGTAAAGCGCGCCTGGCGGATTTATGCAAAGTTTAATAAAGACAGAAAAACCCTCTGATTACCCACTGGGGTAAAATTAAGTCTGATTTTTTGCCTGACCATATAAAAATGAAGTACCTTCAGATCCATATCGTTTTATGCAAGTCCCAGTAATTTTCCCTAACTTCAATAACATTTTGTTAAATTTGTTGAACTGAAATCAAATGCCACTTCTCTGAAATAAAATGAGATAATTCTTACCTCTGTCGCTTTGGGTAGATTTAGCATAAGTTTTCCTGGGTTAGGTCCTTTAAGGGAAACTTGGTTTGACGCATACTATGCACGAAAGTTGGGAAAATTTCCTTCTAAGGTGTTAGACTGCGCAATTTGCGTGGGTGTGATCCGACCAAGAGAGACACTGTTCGGGAACTAAGTCGTGTGTAGCAGTGGATAAGTTCTTCAGATTTTCTAGTGTCCACTGTCCATTGCCATTGTCCAACAAAAAACTAACCCACAAACAACTTTTGGCCATGCCATCTAGGTGATAATCAAATGCCTGTAACAACTGCAGACGGGGACTAGAGGTTCGGATACATAGTACTTCGAGGCTCCCCCTCTTTCCAGTGCACAAAATCAGCAAAAATGTCGCACGCGCTTACTAAATGTCACTAGGGGACGTTTGGTGCCTCTGACGACAGCACTTTTGATAAACTTCGCGGCACATTTGTTGTTCCCGGTGAGATTGTGGAATTCGGGTAGGAGCTTCGAAAAAGTGCAGTACCGAGCGGCCGAATAAATGCGACGGCCGAAATGCCATCCCTGACCAGAAACCTAAAGTTGCCTCGATGGCTTCCCTTTGTCAATTAGACAGCAAAAAGGAAGTCATATGCTAGTATATGAGGTACCGCATGGCCTTAAAAGAGAAGTTCGCTTTGATCACAGCTTTCGTAGTCGCCTTTGGCGCAGTCTTCGAGGATCCAAAATGAGACTGCACACAAGACGGATTAAGTTTATTCTTCTTTCTGGCTCCTCCAAGCAAAATGTATGGGAGCGGAAGAATGGCTCCCGCGAAACACTACTGAGATCCACATGAATATCAGTAGTCAAAAATAGTAGTCAGTTTCACATGCCCTTTGCTTTCTACAGACCTGCCGCCAACCTGTTTATATAAAATGCCATGCCTGATTACCGTTCACTAGGTGACTATGACTGCGATGCTATGCACTGCTTTATCTCCAATAAACGTGCAAATAGGAGGTTTTCGAAGACAACTTCCTATTACCCTCAAAGTTTTCTAAGTAGTACTGAGCTATGTTCCTATAGAACTAGGCAGCATGTTCGCTTAACTTGCAGACGGGAATGGTATCTATTTGGTTATATCAGATGAAACGCAATAGTGCCCTATTTACGCGTAAAAATTGCTAAAGTAATAATTGAAAGTAGCGTGTGTTGGTGTTTTCCATTTGTTAGTTTACAGTGACGAATGAACGAGAAACTGATTTTTCCAAGATATTTAACTAATCACACGAGAGTAGTGTTAAGTACGCGCCGAGGTGTGTCATTACAGGAGACGCATGACAGCTGTTCGTGTTTTTAGAATTGCCATCTAACCAGCTTTACAGACTGTGGAATTACCGGTCTGATATGCACAATGGATAGTACCGTGTTCGTAATTAACTTGCAAGATACATTACGTGTTTGCGTGTTGTAGGTCGGGCATATCTGTCATTGCATTTGCGGACTTGATGACTGCCAACCTCTATTCTATGACTGTATAATGTTACTCTTACTGAAATGGTGTTCTGCTGTTTAATCAAAACTAGAAACTGTGTAAGGGGATCAGGGATTTCCTGCCGAAGTTTATACAACAGTTGTCATCTAAATGAAGCATATCACTGATTACAGCGGGCTTCATCAACTGCTTGCATACTCCACCATAGATTACCGTGAGGGCGAAATTTCTATCCCCATTTTTTTCTATTTACTGTTATGGTGTAATTTGATACAACCAGTTGTTTTGGTGACAAGATTGTTTCTTATACGATTAAGTGACAAAGTTTTCTTTCAGTACAATTTCACGAGACCAGTTCCCAAATAAAATATGTGGGTAATCAGGTGGTTCGCCTTATTTTCTGCCCAGAAGGACAAGAAGAAGATGCGATCACTGGAACAATGAGTTAATTGGTCTGATGTTTCGGATTCTCACTCGAACATAGCACCAGAGACGATTGCAGATAAAGCTAGTGGAGGCACAAAGACTGCAGTATCTATGGTACATAGCTGCTGCGGGGCCACATGCGTAGCATAATTAACGGCTCTCGCGATCATCGCTGGGGCTTGTAATTAGGGCGATGATTGCTCGTCAGTCCGCATCCGAGTCGTTAAGTGCCGAAATTTCGTCATTCGTGTTGGATGTTGACGTGATGATGACTCGGCAAATTGGCTCACTGTCACCAGGGCTCATGTCTCAGCTTTAGTATTCCGCGAAGGCGGCTTATACGGAAGTGGTTGAGCTTCTTGGCATGGCTGAAGTACACAGCCCAGGTCTCCGCTCCGTAGAGAGGTGTCGTCAGGACGACGGACTTGTACATCTTCAGTTTAGTATTCAGTTTGATGCCATGGCGATCCTACACGGAGTTCTGCAACCGACCGAGGACTAGGCTGGCTTTGGAGATCCGGTGGGCCGCTTCGTCGTCGATTTTGATGCGGCAATAAATTGTTCTGCCTAGATAGTTGAAGTTATCTACGGCCTTCAGTTCGGTGCCATTGACGCAGATGCGAGAGATACCGTTTTCAGCGGCTGTTGATGCATGATCACTGTCTGGTGTGGCCTCACAGCAGCTATGTACTAAAGATACTGCAGTCTTTGTGCCTCCACTAGCTGGTGATGCGCAATGTAGCCAGCGGCTGTCTACTGCAGGTTTTCGTGAATGCACATGCGACCTAATAAGCCCATGCGGTGAGTGAATGTACGGGAGCAATGAATTCGCAAATGACCGACCAGGCCGACAAGTGAGGTGAATACGAGATCGCAATTGGGACAGGTGCGAACCGAGTCCATATCGGTGGAGGTGGGAGTGTTAGTGCTGATGGTAAGTGGTGGGACATCAGACGACATCCAATCGACGGGGAGATCGTGTCTTCTTCTTCAAGAGTGTATGAGGTCGTGGTGCCGGTGATGCTGGCCGCTGGGGTCGTTGTACGGGTTGGGGGGGGGGGGGCAGATGGTGTCGGTGGATGGTGGCGGCAAGGCAGCGACAGTGTGATCGGTGGTGACGGGGATGGCGGTCTGCGGGGGGTTTGCGGCAGGGACGACAGTAGGAGAAGAGTTAGACATTGTCAGGTTGATGGCGCATTGGGCCTGAAGGTGTCTAACAAGGCCGATCTGTGCACGGTATGTACATTGGCAGCGCGGGCATATTGGAAGCGGCGGATTATTGGAACTGAGGAGGTGAGGCACTTGTGAGTACGAGCCTCCCGTTTGACTATGGGAGCGTCAATCCGATTGGCCTTGTAGATGGCAGCGTTAGTCTTACGTTTCTGCTCCAGGTCGGGCTGTTCTGGGCGAGGTCCTTCCAGATCTCTGGATTGATGTACAATCGTTTAAAGGAGCTTTTTGGTGTATCGTTATAGCGTCGTTTTGGGCCACTCGGTCGGCGAGCACCGGTGGTGACACCAACATTGACATCTAAACTTGTAACTTGCATACTTACGGGATGGGCGTCCCTAAAATAGTTGCGGTCGCCTCAGCAAGACGTAGATGCTGAGGACTCCGTTACGTTCTACAACTTCTGTGTGTGTATGAGAGAGAGACATGCTTTATTTAGGAAGTATCATTCTGCAATTTTCAGCAAGTAAAGCCTCCATCTACAGTGGGTAAAACAGATACAGAAAACAGACGACACCAGAAAATCCCAAGCGGTAGCTGTCGAAAACTGCAACTGACGACATTATGAGGAATCACTGGTGAATAAATTTCAAAATTCGTGTCAGGTTTGACTTCCTTTGAATCTGTGCTAACGTAGTGCGTACACGACCTTATTATTGTAGTTCCAATAAATAAAGAGAGAGGAAAATCGGAGTCGGGGACCCTCTCTTGTCATCTCAGCTCTAGCATTCTGCGAGGGCAGCTGAGTTGGAAGTGGTTGAATTTTTTGGCATGACTGCAGTAGACGGTCCAGGTTTCCGCTCCATAGAGAAGTGCCGTCAGGACGACGGACTTGTACATCTTCATTTTAGTATTCAGTTGGATGCCGTGGCCATGGTCTCACTCTCGGCTTAGACCTCTTCAATTGGCCTACCAATAAGTCCAAATGCTGGCAGCGTGACGCGTCTGAGAGTGGTGGGCAGTAAAATAGTCTTCCACTAATGTTAACCGCAGAATAAGCAGACGTACACCCGACAAACAGTAGGGTGCGGACCACCATCGACAGAGTTAGCATGACGTGGAGTTTTGAGGTTCGTGAAATGGCCTATCTTATAAGGCCCCACAGAGCTCTATAACGGCAATGCGACATGGCGAGATCTAATTACCATTAAAGTCGTCCTTTCTGCTATCCGTGCTCTGAGTTCTGGGCCGCCATTCAAAGCACAGGCTGAGTTCTAGAGGACTCCATTGGGATCAGACTTCTGGATCTCGAAATATTCAGTTAATTCATTGCGAGTTTTGGCTTATAGTAGAACATCCTTAGCATCTTTTGGCCATAAATCCGTCTATCTTTGGATGTAAAAGATAAATGTCCACATTAGCCATGGATATGCAGCCTGTCGTTGAACTGTTAGTGAAAGCCGTGACTTTGTTTATAAAAGTATTTTAGCAGACTAGAACAAAACGCTTTCTTCATTACCACAATATAACACACATGGACCTACTTCAGTAGGGCCAACGGAAAACAGGCAAATCGACCCAAACGGAGGATGTAAACGGTGTATACCAAAAAGTGGGCCTGTACTGTATGCGGCCGAAAATCATTAGGTCTCGAATCACAAGTTTGTGAGATGGATTCGGTAGAAAATCGTATGTCGCTACTAAACAAAAATTTGAGAGCAGGTCCTGGAGTTTTTTCCTGTGACAACAAGTCGACCAAACGCAGCCGGTGACTTACCATGTAATGTCTCATCTATGTTACTGGCTGGTGCTAGTGACGGACGCTGGCCGACCAGTCATCATGCGCGCGGGTGCCGACTGGGGTTGAGAATTGTACGTAAAGGATTACGCAATTCCGACCAACGCAAGTGTGATCTTAGCCATGGATTACAATTTGTCAGGAACGAACTTGTTTACAGGAGCGCATCGTTAACTAAGTACAACGTGGAAGTCTCCCGCCTTTCCTTTGTGCGTCGGTGATCAAAGTGTAAGCGATCGCCAAGTAAGTTAAATACTGCTATAGATGAGATGGAGCCGACAACGACAAGGGAGACCGGAATGGCCATTTCTGGCTTATTAGCCGTCATCAGCCAGTCATACCCAACCCCAAGTGTGGATCACTTGAGATTCGAACCCGGGATCTTTGGTCATGGAGTTTGACGCTCTACCATTGAGCCACGGGCCCGTTGTCCTGTCGGTTGTGATCGGGAACATTAATCATGATAGTGGGCGCTCACCGATCAGGTTACGGAACATGCTCGTTCCGTTGTGCCTTGGGGCTCATACTAGAACCCTCGCAGGCAGTCGCACAACGACTAGTAGTAGTAGTATGTTGGGTATGACTGGCTGATGACGGCTAATAAGCCAGAAATGGCCATTCCGGTCTCCCTTGTCTTTGTCGGCTCCATCTCATCTATGTCTACTACTAGTTGCTGTGCGACTGCCTGCGAGGGTTCTAGTATGAGCCCCAAGGCACAACGGAACGAGCATGTTCCGTAACCTGATCGGTGAGCGCCCACTATCATAATTAATATACCCGATCACAACCGACAGGACAACGGGCCCGTGGCTCAATGGTAGAGCGTCAAACTCCATGACCAAAGATTCCGGGTTCGAATCTCAAGTGATCCACACTTGGGGTTGGGTATGACTGACTGATGACGGCTGATAAGCCAGAAATGGCCATTCCGGTCTCCCTTGTCTTTGTCCGATGCAATCCTGGCCGAAGTCTACAAGTACGACGGGTCCCGGCTGATGGACAAACTTACAACGCTACTCCAGCAGATGTACCGCCAGAGGCAAGTTCCTCAAAATGTCAAGGACGTGACGGTCGCCACCTGTACAGGCGGAGGGGGGACCGGAAGCTGCAATAAAAACATAGACAGGAAGATCTTCACAGGCATCATCCTCGACTGTCTCATCGGTCTTCTAGAAGAGTTAACTTACCGGAAAGTCAATGTGGCCTCAGACGGCACTCCGGAATCACTGACATGATCTTCGCCGCCCGCCAGCTGCAAAAGAAACGACATGAAGTGCGGGACCTTCCATACGCTACCTTCGCGGAACTCGCGCGAGATTTTGACGTGGTGAATAGCGAGGGACTGTGAAAAATCATGCAGAACTTAAGCTGTCCTGAGCGATTCATGCACATGGTGCTTCAACTCAACGACATGAGGATGGCACGCGTGTTGGGGGATGGGACCGCCCCAGAAGCCTTTGTAGTGACCAACAGTGTAAAGTAGGGCTGAATACTCGCCCTCACCCTCACCGGCCTAATGTTTTCTGTCATGCTAATAAACCCCTACCCCGACGAGCACCTCAGAAGTCGCATCGCCTCCAGGACCAGCGTCCATCTCCTCAATAGTCGGCGCATGCAGACCCCAACGAGTCTTCCCGCGACTGCTTTCGACGATTTCATTTCCGCGATAGAAGCAGAATTGCGACGAAGCATGGACCTCTCCGCCTCCGACTTGGCCAACGTTGGGTTGACCTTCAAAACGGACAAAACGGTGGTCACGCATCAACCTCCATTCAACACTGCATACAATGTCTCTCGGATCAACATCAACGGCACCCAACTGAAAACCGTAGACAATATCGCCTACTTAGGCACCACACTACCGCATCGTTGAAATTGACGACAAAGTGGTTCACCAGAACTTCAAAGCCAGCCAGGTCTTCCGCCGGCTGTAAAACACAGTATGGAATCGCCACGGTCTTCATCGTAACACGAAGCTCAAGATGTGCAAAGCAAGACTACGCTGCTGTATAGGGCGGAGACCTGGACAGTCTACAAGATGCACGGGCGGGAACTCAGTTTCTTCTATTTCAATTGCGTTCCGAGAATCCTAAAGCTGATGATAGAACAGAATCCTGGGCAAAGGACCGGAACCCTTAGTATTCACGTAATTCTGAGATAACTGCGATGGAACAGCCACTCCATAGTAACGAACGATGAAAGACTGCCCAGACGACTCCTCTATGGCGATATCTTTAAGGGTGCTAGGCGACAAAGAGCTCAAGCACGCCATAAAGAGTTACTTGAATTGTTGGCAAATCAACTCAAAACTCTGGGATGACCTCGCACATAATCGACCGACCTGGAGTACAGTAGTGAACAGTAAATCAGCAACCCATAAAGCCAACCCCCAAGGCGTACACGACACCGACCTCCCTTGCCACCGGTGATTACACTCCCGTCGTCGCTGGCCACCATCTCCATCATCTTTGCTATCGCCTCCGCGACGATGGAGCGGAATACCAGCTATCCTGATTTTGCATCGGCCAAAACGCTACCGATACCTCGTCAATCACTACCTTGACGAGAGCCGCCCCCCCCCCACCACCACCACCACCACAATTGCGGTAGCACGTTCACCTCATGTATCAGCCTGTCGGTCTTTTGCGGATCCCTCGAATCGTAACCGACGCGCCAAAGCCGAGGGCCCCGCATACATCCGCCGCACTGTCCACGCACATTCACCGCGTGAGCCCATGCGGTCACATGCCTATCCACAACGACAGAATTCGCCTTAATATCGACACACCTAATACACTTTGCACATCCGCCAACTCTCCCATCCACAGCCCAATCAACTCCCCATCCCGACCAATAGCAGCATTACAATGGCAACCGACTTAGTATCCGTCAACTTGTCCTTTCCACACCGCCATCGCACATCCAACTCAAACTTCGGCCTCGTGGGGCACTTGTACGTTCATCCCACAGACGCTGGCGCACTAGTGCCTGAAGTACCCACTGTCATTGCCTCAACTGCCCGCATTGCCCTTACATGGGCTTATTTGATCACATTCGCCTGCATTAGAACCAGTGGTGAATTGTCGCAGACATGATCAAATCACGGCACATTCCCACACCAACACCCACACATGAACACCTCAAACATCAAACGACGCAGGCACCCCTCACGTAAGTGAGAAGTGTGCTCCTCGGCTCCTTCCTCATGTGGCTCCTCTGCAGCATGTGAGATCCAAGCAGTCCGTTCCCTTTTGTGTGGAACCCCGTTTTGCGTACGGGGGGAGGGCAGGTCGTGTGTGCGGCACCTGCAGACGAGCTGTTCTCTGCTTGTCAGAATCAGTTGGTTGACCGGCTCGGACGGTCGCGTGGTGCACGGGATAGGGTAGAGCGATTGAGATCGACGGTCTCAGCACATAATTTTTCACTATAAACAAGCCAAAGTGCTTGAATCTATCACGGTGTGCCAAAAGCCGCGGCTTGGAAGGATGCCAACTGACGGGATAACTCAGACTTCGCAGTCAGACCAGCGTGTTTTTGTGTGGAATGGCCGACTGGCACTCCCGCTCCATGAGATCCGAGCCCGTGAGGTGACACGCTCAGGTGTGGGTTTTCGTCGTGCCAGTCACCCACGTCCTCTCCCACCCCCGATCTTCTCGACTATGTCATAACACTGGGCTCAGGTAGGAGAGGAGGGAGTGAGTAAACGCTGCGCAAGTCTACTGCCATTATAAACAAATTCACGCACAAGTCACCGTTCCTGCTCTCACACTGCTGTGGAACACACGGTGAACACAGATGGAATCGACGGTCGAAGTGTCGTTCTAATCATGGCTGTGGGAAGTGAAGGTGCCAGTACACAAGAAATCCTTTCATCTCTACCCAGCGGTCACTAAACATTCTGTTCGACGTTTAGTCGCAGTCTCTGCGAGCGGTTAGGCTAAAGTTGCACTAGTTCACGGGAAACCCACACCACCGAGGACAGAACTTGTGCGTGTTCATGATGCTATTCTCAGTGCCACATGTCGATGCCTACGCCGCGAGAGAGTGCAGCAATAGGCCTTTTGTAGACACACTGAACACTAATGGCATACATGCCTGCCCGATCATGCTGAGTCACCTCAGCGATAGACTGTTCTGGCCTTGTTGCTGCGATGGTCGGGCCATGACTTAAATGACATATCGTCTAAAATGAACAACCTATAAAGGTACATAATGCTGATCGTCTTAGAAATGCTGCCCCCAGCATGATCCTGCGTCTGGATGTCGTTAACAGCCTCTTTGGACTTTTATAGACGGTAACGACCTATGTGGCCTCTTCAGTAGAAGGCGGGTAGGTATAACAGAAACATACTTGAAACAGTACAGAAAACGTCGCTACAAGTATTGCAAATCGGTTGCAACAATCCAAATGATTTACGGCACAAGAGCTGTGCATCTTCTGAGTGATCTAGACGTCGAGATCCCGAGTTTTCCAACCTACAAAGCCGATCGCAGTGAATTCTGGGGAATATAGCACTGAGTCTCAGGCGACCCTAACAAATATAGGAGATCATATCGGGTTTTTAGGTTGAGTCAGTCCTCTGACCAACCCCTCCCTGCGATCAGAGACAACGAAGGCGCGATCATAGTCACAATCGGGAATGATGATTCCGTAAAAGGAATATATTGTTCATCTTCTGAACTAGGCAGTCTCGGTCCCATACTTGGGGTTTACGGAGCATAACACAATACCTGAACCTCCTGCAATCCAACTACGCCAAATGACAGTACGTCCGCGTGACCTGGTAACTTTCGCCATCTCCGAGCTGTCGCGATGTGTGCTTCCTAAGTCTACAGCTTCGACTATGCCTGTCTGAGGCACACCCATAACCGGGACTCGATGGTCCGACTATATTTATTGCCCCGTAGGGACACTGCTGAAGAACGGCATCGAGATCACAGCAATTAATGGGCACGCGGACTTCGGTAAAGTGAGCTGCGTCATTTCCGGTTAGGGGTAGTAATGACTGAATTCCCGACTGGTCGGCAAATGTAAACCGGTTGACATAAACATCGGATTTCAACAAACGAGAAGACAAAACCCTCGCCTAACGTTTAAGGCATGAAGCGATCGTCGTTGATTTTCCTAATCAAACACCACACAGCAGCTGCAGTCCTCGTCCGTGCTTTATGTGAAAGGCCGACAGGCCGCAAACACAGATCAGAGAAGACGTTCATAGCCTTCTCTGCGCCTTCGTCTCGAGAGTGTATCGGGTGCCCAGGGTGTAAGGCATTCCTTGTTTCCGTGATATGCAGCGCGACATACATCTTTGCAGGACCTGTGGGCAAGAGCCTCTGATCTGCAGCTCTACGAGGCGGTCACACCCATATAACGGCTTCGACCGGCGGACTAAACCAAATAAAAGCAGGAAGGTTTAGAAAGTAAAGGCGGATCAGCCATGTGCTGTCACGTCTGTGAAGAGGTTTTATGTCTAGCCGACCGCAGCAATCTGACTCACTCTCCATATCATAGCTACCAAAGCCCTGTGGATAGAAAAACGGCAACCACACAGGCTGGAGAGAGAAAGTGTTAGAAGATACCATATTAACAGCACAGGTACTGGCTGAAAGCCCAGACACGTTTTTTACCGACATTCTGCCACTACATGGCATAGCTGAGAACGGTTCGGCTTTTCAGTGGGTCTCCCAGCATTCCGCGTGTGTTTTCTTGTAGATATTCCAGTTTAGAAACTGTCACTTTTAATTTCATCAGAACTTAACCGCAAATTAGGAGTAAATCAGTTTATACTACGGTCTATAGGCGCGGACCGAAATTTTAGGCACGAATATTTTAGCCGAAGTCCATCAGTCACAGCGGGATATCCGCGTAATATTCATTAACTGCCGACGGGCAGCTACTAGCATATTTTAGCGTAATAAGATAACATACTAGCGGCACAGGTACTAGCTAAAATTCCAGACAGAGAGTATCCAATGAAATGAGCACGAGGCTGGACCCTATGCAGACTCCAAAAGACGAAGACCTTGACCACATTTGGAAGAGACCGCGTGGTACTACGCAGGCGGCTGAAATCGAAGTCATAGAGGCCGTACGCAAAACAAATTATTCCGATGACAGCGATGGAGACATAGTGACCGATAACCTAAAATAACCAACTCCACAGAATTTACATGTTCAATGGCACAGTCCACAATGAAAAGGCAACCTTCTAATGGCGCCGGCAACTGATAGACTAAACGAGATGCGGAATAAATGCACGCTTGCGACACAATACTGCTTAGACCTAAGGTTGCACTGATCGTGGTAAAATAAAGAACCCTGTGCAGATAAAGTGCTTCAATGATTCCCAGATCATAGAGGTTTTGTTTTACTTAGTTTAAAAAGAACAATTCTCCTGATGGATGCGTCGCAGATTCCGCAGCGGCAGGCTGAGATCTTAGAGATGTCTTTAACCGCTCATTTAGAATCTGAGAGCACGTCATTAAGAGACTCCTTAAGTGGGACCCAACACTGATTTCAACCGTCTCTCGGTCCCGCAGAAGACTATCAGAGAAATTCAACAGATGTCAGCGGAAAATATTTAGACGCTGACTTAATTCCAACCGAAACTCAAGAGCATGGCGCCATTCGACTCACGGACAAGTTAACCTACTTCTTAGGTGTGGAGAGAAAGGCAAGTATCACAAGATTGCAGTGGGTGTAACAAATGCTGTTCCACACAGACGCAAAGTAGCTCGACGAAAATTCTTCCTCCATAATGTTGAAATTACCTCCACCCGAAAACTACTGAGTCGCCAGAATTTACGCCTGTAACAGAGAATTCGTCCCGCGAGCCAATACGGACCCCGTAGAAGCGCAGAATCACCGGTTTCGTATTTGTGGCATGGGGACTGTCGGAAAAACCTAAAAGTGAGGATTAGCAGTGCATTAACTTTGTGGGTCATAATAAGCCTTCGAGACGATGAAGATCATAGTGACACAGTCGGACGTGTAAGACAGCAGAGAAAGGGGTCCTCACGAAGAAAAAGCGTGAAACAGGGTTGCATGCTGCTCAACCCTGCACTGGGTGACAGACGCCAGCCTGAAAGATCGATTGTGTGCCGACGACAACCTTTGGTTCGGCGGAGAACTGATCGGAGCTCGCCACGTGCAGGTAGTCACATGGACCTTCGAGACTGGGATAAAGTACCTTTCCCGGCCAAAGACTGCACTTAGTATCACAATTGACGCGGATTGTTGCAATGTCTGAGACGTTTCGCCTTCGCGAGTGTAAATTTAGGACCAACCATGGAAAAGCGGAAAATGGTCGCCATGCCTTCATCGGCTGGAACTGACGGATGTAGCGGGCACATGACAACCGTCGATGGTAATTGCTTTGCAGCGGTGTACGCGTCTTTTTCCCTGATAAAAACCACCTCATAGAACACCAAAATAGGCGAATTGCAGCTCTGACCTCTGAGGGCGGCCAGGCCTTTGAGTAACTTCAGAAATCAGCCCAGCGTCACTATGGCACCCCTCAGGACACGGAACTCAGAATGTACAAAACTGTTCTGCGACGCGAAGAGCCGCGCAATCTACCTGCTCCACCGCTCCGGCCTAAGATTTCTCCAAAGAATGTTAAGAAATGTGGCCAGAACGGATCTGTCACACAGGCGTTGAAGATGACGGGCATATACACCAAGATGAAGGTGGGACGGCTGCACCGTGGCGACTGATGAACGCATGTCCACATTGCTTCCACACGTTCAGTCATCCTAAATCATGTCCGATCAATCAAGTCCACGCCATTTTCAATCAGTCAACACGTGAGCCCCCCGACCATACGCACACGCAACAAACCCACTAACCGACACCACAGACCGAAATTCTGGGCCCGGTATGTGGATGACACCTTCGTCGTCATCGAACGGGATCAGGTGCTGACATTCAAAGAACAGCTCAACGCCGTCTCCCCGGACATTCAATTTATGATGGAGGAGGAGGAAAACAATCAGCTGGCCTTCCTGGATGTCCTCGTCTGCCGCAAAGATTGTGGTGGCCTAAAAACCAAAGTGTTCAGGAAAGCGACAAATACGACGCAAATACTGAACTTCAATAGCAACCACCCGATCAGTCACAAACGCAGTTGCGTAAGGGCGCTATACCGGCGTGTTGAGACGCACTGCAGTGAAATGGAAGACAAAGTTGCTGAATTACAATATCTACGACGGTAATGAGAGCCAATGGCTACCCGCGCAACTTTGTCAACCAGTGCATACGAAAAGGACACCAGAAACCAAATCCAACTAGCCCCAAATTTTGGCGCGCTCTTCCGTACGTGAAGAACGTCTCGGAAGCCGTCAGTCGTCTTCTCACTCCACTTGGAGTTGGGGTTGCACACAGGCCGGAAGCAACTATTAGGCGCCAAGTAATGAGGCCAAAAGACCCGCTGCCACGGCAGGAAACGTCTGGAGTCGTTTACCGGATTTGGTGTAGTTGCGGACAAAGCAATTATGTCGGAGAAACTGGGAGATTACTCCGTACGCGACTTGCCGAGCACGCAGCAGCAGTGAGGCGGGTAGACGCTAACTCTCAGGTGGCGGCACACTCGACGGGACCCGGCCGTATTTTTAAATTTCAAGAGACCGAAATCCTCGCAAGGGGTGACAACCGCGTGAGCCGCGAGCTGCTCGAGTCATGGTTAGTGGGGCCACAATCCATCAACAAGCACAATGACCTCCCGGTACCATATTCCGTGCTGCGATTTTCTCTGGGCGGGAGAATCAGTCACGTGGGGAGGGCGCGGGCGAGCAATTATCACAGTGACAGTGAGCCAGTTTGCCGAGCCATCGTCACACCAGCATCCAGCACGAATGACGAAATCACGGCAATTAACGACCCGCACTCGGACCGACAAGCCACCACCGCATCAATTACGACTCAGCGGTGATTGCGAGAACTGTTACTTGCAGTGCGCATGCGGTCCACGGCAGCCACGTGCTAAAAATACTGCACTCCTGGTGCCACCATCGCCTTTATCTGCGAATGTCTCTGATGATGGATTCGAGTAAGAATCCGAAACGCCAGTCCAATTTCTTGTTCCACCGATCGCATCTTCATCTTCCAAACCCAATGACCACCTGCACATGCTCTATATTTTATGCCAGCGTCGGCAGTGACAGCGAGACTATCTAGCCTGTTTGTATATAGCTCGCAATAGGCAGTCGACGTACGCCGCGCCCGTTATCAGACATGATCTCATCATCAGACGGTCAGGATTTCGTAGTTTGCTGGCTCATAAGAAAACGGAGGGGTGATTTGGAGAATCCTTTCTCGCGGAAAACGAACAAGTCCATCACAATAAATTTGATGCGCCTGAACCTAACACATTAGAAGCAGTGGTCTGCATGGTCGCCGGTTGGCAGGCTAGCCCGACCCGCCTTCCGATCAGACAGCAGTGACGTCTTTATGTGGCCCTACGGTTCCCTTCACTTCCGTAAGTTTCGATGGACAGCGAGTTCGCGTCATGTCAGTCGCTGCACGAAATCTCATGTACAAATGGTCTGAATGTGGCGACTTAATGGGTGGAGAGGAGAGAGATCGATTTGACTGGGACCGAGCGCTTGGCACCTCACTGTAAAGAACCGAATATGCTTTCAAACCATGCTAGAAAGTGGCGTTCGTGACCCACTAGCGTAATAACCCAGTCCTACACGGGACTGAAGTGCCATCTATATTGGTTCCCTAATATCACCATTACAAATCATTAGTGCGAGACCCCATGCGCTTTATGCTCATGACGGGTCAGCAGGTACGCATGAAACGCAGGAGACGTGGTTTCAGCCCCGTGAGCTGTCGCGTCCGCACATCCTCCAGCTGTGTTACCTTTTACATGGGGACACGGGGTTGCGAGGTGACCGGAATAGATGCTGCGCATGCCTGTTTGGATGTAACCAACCTTAGCCGCAATTCACCGCGGCGGTTTCGGGACTTTGGTAGTCCGAATTTCTCGGACGAGCGGATGCACTTGGTACTATCACCGCGTTCCATCATGAGCTTCGACACAGGTAAACGGTCGCCGGCCTTAAGCTAGTCGTTGCAAGCACCCTGACGCGCGGCTGATAAATGCTGAGAATAAGCCGACTGCCTAAGAGCACAATCGTTCGAGGTAACAGGCGCGACCCATGGTAACTCAAAAATGTAACATCGACACAGCCGTCAGTGAGGGTCGACGAAAGGCGACAACTGCGAAGCAATGGGAGAATATCCGCCGTTAACGACATATGCAAGCTCTGGCGTCTGCTCAATGAAATATAAACGGTCAGTCATATGACCCAAAATAATTAAGAAATCACCAAATGCTCTCGATGAGTGAGCGCTGGCAACGGCACACTGTTCGCATCCAACAACGGCAGAAGCACGGACCAAATCTAAATGTACATTACAACCAGCCAGCGACCTTTCGGAACGCGATATTCTCACTTAGCTCAGAAAACGTAAATACTTATGGACGCTCGTCCCTTGACTGCTTTTTGTTGAAGAGCACAAAAGAGATTGCAGTAAGGTCCCGAGTCTTTTAACCCACGGACGACTTTTAATAGCAAAGCAATTTTTACTTTCAAAAAGAAAATGCTCAAAAATTGTCACTGTCTTGACAAAAGCGATGCCTACAAGCAAGTCATGTAGAGTAGAAAAGTGTTGAACTTTCAAATAGAAAAAGTTCCTGAGGTACTCGTAATCCACATAAAAGCTCAAATAGGTTTGCGTGCCGTTAAAACTAAGATTCCAGAAGTTTATATAGTTCTCCGGTCTTCTGAGCCCTTTGCGCATCATCGCAGCCGCCCAGTGATTTTCCGTTAATGAATATCCTGGGGACCTAGTAGGATAAGTGTTCATTAACAAATATGTTTACCTACCGTTCGAGCGCCTGTCAATGCCTTGAGTGCATCCTGAATTTCGGAGCACCTGGGATTGGTGCTGATGTCCACCACGTCCATATCACTTTCCGTGATAGAGGTCCCAATGAAGCCACGAAAAATGCTCACCGCGGTCTTGCAGTATGGGCAGTACGGTTTAACGAACATGACAACCTTCTTTGCATTTATCTTCTCCTGAATGAAAGCGTTGCAATCTGGGGAGGTTTGACTCTGGGATATTCCCATGGTGGTCCCAGGGGGATTATACGTGTTTGGTCGTTTAGAGCTCTACATGCACAGAAGAATGAGGTGCTGAGGGCATGTGAGACGAAGGTCGTTATTAAGCAAAAAGGCCTGATAAACGTATTAGGGTGCATGACATCCTGGGTGCAAATTAGGAGTGAACAGTGTCGACACTCAAGTCGAGAAAAAAAACAGGAAGAATGGAACTGGTGGTCACTTAAGGTACAGCATTATGTGTGGAGATATCTCTAGACAACAACTGTTGTGAGGCTGTCAGAGACCGTACTACGGTAGATGACGATTTCCCACCCACAGCAGATGACTAGCGCCGTATAGGTATTTCTCTCAAAAAACCTCGCTTAATTTCTGTCCAAGACATTTCCAAAATAGTACTATACTGACGCGCCGAAAATCTCAGAATTATCGTCAATGATAGTAAAAGTGACACACGTGTGGATGAGGCTGGAAAACGCAGGAGGCTAGTTATCGAGCAAAAAAGATGCTGTCGTCAAAGTGGAAAATACGTTTCGAATTTCCGGATTCGAATCGTGCCCGACTTGGTATTCGTATACAGGATGATGATGATGAGCGGCCGGGAATGCCTCCGTAAAACTTATTTTACCCCAGCAAAGGGCCCTACAGCCCTACTATGCCGCATGCTTGTTTGAGAATAGTCCCAGAAATGATGTAATGCCCAGATATGTACAAACGAAGCCCTACGAGGGAGATGACCAAAAGGGAGTAACTAAGTCAACTAATTTCTTCCTGGAAAGAACCTTCCATGCATGCGATCGAAGTACCGTCGCCTGGGATGCCAGCCCATAACGGTATTCCTCAGAGGTTAGTGTTTTTCTACATCTGTTTAAGCAGTCAACTTTATCATAATAAAAACTGAAAACATTCCGGATCGGGTTCATACTCAGACCAACTTTCGCGGTATGTACTACCTACTGGTAAACTAACTGGCCATATACCAGAGTCTCTCCAAACTACGATCATAGACTTGTGCAGAAGGACCCAAATGAGCAAAGGATGGTGTGATCTCTCGCATGTAATTACATTAACGAGACTTCGGAAGTGCACTTATGAACTGTTGATCAACGTAAATGCGCCTGCACGAGCGCACAAAAAGAATAGTTGGATGCTAGGTGTGTCCTGGAACATTCTAAGGCCTATGTGCCGTGTCACGGCCACGACTGCGTACGCACAAGTCACGAATTCTTCTGGACCGCCCTTTAATGAGCCTACTGAAAGTCTACGTTAAGCATCCATGGATGCTTCCTTCCTGCAGGAAGATAGTAGTTGAAGTCAAATTCGAACAGTTAGCGGCATAGCATCTTTGATGTGTCGTATGTCTTTTCTGCATCTTAGTACTCCTCTTAGTACCGATTTTCTGCCTGTGGTCGTTAGTTATCCTGATCTTAGTAAAGCCTCTGATAAAGTTCCTCGTGAACGACACTTAGTTGAACTAAATGCTCTAGGAATTTGCAGTCTCCTTGCTGACTTTGTCGAGACATGACTATCTAATCGGAAGCAAACGGTCTCGGTGCGGCTCGAACTTTCCATTTCCGAACCTACTGGAATCTGTGTACTCCGAGGTACTGTTTGAGGTCGTTTTTTGTTTTTGCCTTACCTTAGTGATATCTCGTCGATACCTAAACATTCTCAATCTGTTATTTGTCCCGGTTATCTCACATGCGAACATTCTTTCTCCGAATCTACGACTACACATTGCCTGGAGCAAATCCATGCTGACTTACTTGTCGCAATATATCTTTTGTACTTGAAAGGCTACACCAACCAATGACTGTTCAAGGCATCCCAATGACTAAGTTTCCAATTAGCAAGGACTTGGGATACAGCTTTATCAATAATCTAGACCTCTTGCCTCACGCCGATAGAATTACGGCCAAAGCTGACCAGATTTTTGGCCCAATTCGTTATAATCTCTGCCTTCGTGAAATAAAGTTGACATTAGCGAATATATTACCAAAGCCCTACTATATATCCAGCAAATAATTCATGCGTGAATTGCCCTAAGTCATTTATGCCCTAACCAAGTTCACGCTGCCCACCACTTAAGGCCAATCGCTCACAGGTAAGTCAACCTAACTCCTTGGACTTCCAACCAAGACCGGGTTTCCCACCCTTTTATTCTTATGGCTGTCTACCTTCCCCCTTCAGCCTCTACTTTCCTTCTAAGCTTCATCGCCCTCTCGCCAAAATTTAACTACCAACAAGCCTCTCCTAGCTCCCCTAGCATTCCACTGCTCGCAAACTATATCCCAACATCGTTTAAGTCTCATATCCAACCTTCTCTTGCTGACTCTACGTCCGTCAATAACTCTAGACTAACTGGTCCTTATTCTCCAGGCATAATTAATTCCCAGCTTTCATACCCGTCTCCAAATTTTTTTAAAATAGCGTCGACAATAGCATTGCTGTTCGGATCACATTAGATATTATATTATTGCAGGCCAGGTCTGTTATAAACAAGATGGCCCAAATCAGAGCCATTGCCCTCGCAATGATGCCTGATGTTATATGTGAAACGGATGTTGAACCCATTCTCTAATTCCTGACTCTGCAAGGTCAAGATCAGGGCGCGCAGCTCATTCTCAAAGATAAGTGAAGCTTGAGAGAGAGAGAGAGAGAGAGAGAGAGAGAGAGAGAGAGAGGAATGCGCTTTATTTTGAAATCATATGTTCAAAATTTTCAGCAAAAAGTTGGCTCCATTCACTATGGGCAGTAAATAAGTTAATAGATTATTCAAGAGTCAAAGTTTAACACAAAGAAACGATTATTATGGGGATAGTTCAAGTCTTAGCTTCTGTATTTCTGCCTCTTCGCACGTAAGATAGCGCGCTAGGAATAGCAATACAGAAGCTCGATAAGCCGATGTGCGACAGGATACAAGACGGAAGTTGCGGCGCATCGGGCGGGAAGACTTGGCAGACATAAGATCGGAATGTAGGGGATGGGCAACGTCATCTAGAATTCGACCAGCAAATTGCTTGACCGCATTGAAGTGTCGTTGTAAGATAGTGTCAACTAAAAAAATATAAGAAACGCCAGCAGCAGAAGAGAGCATGCAGAGGATTCGTTTCAAAATTAAAAGATGCTTTTTTAACAAAGCAGGAAAAACGACAGGAGAACAGTATAGGATAAGAGGAAGAATGCAGGCATTAATGAATCGCCAGACTAAGGGTTAAGGTGTGTGGTAGGAACGTAAACGACGAATGTAGTAAGGAAGTTTACGAACTTTAATAAATAGGGACTCAATATGGAGGGAAAAAGAAAGATTTGAGGACGAAGTAACGCCGAGATACCTGAAAGAGGATACTTCGGTAGGAAGAATGTCAGATGAATCAGGGTTAGGAGAGGGCCGCAGTCGAAAAATACACTAAACGGATTTTTGGTTGTTTATTAGGAGATCATTTTCCTCCGACCACGCTAGGACACGGTTTAGGCCATCCTCTAGAGACCGGAGGTGTGTCTGACTATTGAGAGGGTGTCCAACAACCACATCTGCAGCATACTTGGCCAGAAGACAGTCATTAGGGGACTCGAGATCATCAGTGTGGAGGGAGTAAAGGTGAGGGGATAGAATGGAACCTTGAAGGACACCGCAGTCATTGGGAAGGGTCGAAGATTTCCGCTTGCCAGATTGGACAAATTGGGTGCGGAAGGTAAAATAATCGCTCAGCCAAGAGACGACCCAGCCTGGAGAGCCACATTCGCATTTACTTGGATATTCTTAAGCAATTAATGCCTGTTTTATGCTTGAGTCTTTTTTTAAAGCTCGCTTTTAACTACACGATATCATTTTACCCAGTTTTGTTTGACAGGTTGGCAAAATAGTCGTATTTTGTAAAAAAAAACCTTTGTCGTGACTTCGTTCCAGACTATCTCTTTCTAGTTTTCGTAATTTTCATGCTAATGTCCATACTGGATCAGTTAACTCACCCGTTCCTCAGTTTCGTTCCGACGGAAATAATTTGCAGTATCTGGCCTGCGGATTTCCAGCTGAAAATGAGTTAGCTAACAATGGTTACCAGTTTACCTGTCTATCATATCCCCCCCAAGTCCCTCCCCTTTTTATTCACGTCAGAATCTTTCGATGCCACAAAATTTTTTGCAGAACCGGATGGGTACGTCCGGACCGTTTGCTCCGTGGACAGCCAAGCACTGGCCGACGAAGTCCACCTCTCTCAGAAATAAACATCCTTCCCCCTCAAACTTTTTGTTTTAAATGCTAGATCCCTGCTTAATAAGATGCCTTTGCTTCAGACTCTGGTGTTCGTCTGTTGTCCAAATATTCTTTTCGTAACTGAGACGTGGGCATCAGCCTCAGTAGCTGACTCCGAACTCTCGCTTCTAAGCTATAATTGCATCCGAAATGATCGTCAAGATAGCCGTGGTGGGGGCAGCTGCGTCTACGATAAGCAAACACTTACATTTTTGCCGCTTGACCTCCCGCATTTTTCCGCAGTAGAAGACAGCTGCTGGCTCCAAGATGCACTAAAAACAAGTTCTCCTTACTTGTTGGCTGAGTCTATCGTCCTCCCAACGCCAACGGCAATTTTGATCGTTTACTTTCACAGGCATTTCATGCTGCGGTTGACTTAAGCTTTAAGTATCAATTGGTTGCGGATGACTTTAATTTCCCTATGTCTGCTGGTCTCCGCCTTCATGCCCTAGAAGGTTCGCAGACCTTCTTGAGGCTGTGGATGTTGGGATGTGGACTCAGGTTGTCGACTTTCCCACCCGAGGATCAAGCATACTCAACTTGATTTTCTGTAGAGGCTGCATACCTTCCTCTTTGTCAGCTCTTAGCCCACTCGGGGGCTCAGACCATGACATAGTTGTTTCAACGTTGGAATTCGAGGCTGACAAAACCTCTTCCCCAAAGTATAACTTTTTCCGCGATTTACGATCAACTCGCTCACTCGAATTATTAACACACCTTAATTCCTACGACTGAACTGATTTCTTCCTTAGTT